GGGGGGGGGTAAGGTTTTAAAGACGAAATAAAGGAAGATGATTTTTTTTTTGAGATATGAATAATATTGGGTTATTTACATCATATACACGTTATAGTATAACATCTGAAGTATTTTTGAAAAAAATTTCAATCAAAAATATCAATAAATAAGTTCGTGACAGCGAATCTCCGGAGGCGCCTCGAAAAAAAGTTGTTATGCGGTAAACTTCATAACTCGTTACCGGATCATCTGAAATAAAAAAGTCGAAATGCGTTTAAAAGGTGGTATGTTTCCCTAGGTACTCAGAGGGAGTTTTTTTTTCTTTCGATTTGTTCAGTTTTGACAGTATTTTGAAATGAAAAACGCGATTTTTGCTACAAAATTCCGTTGAATTTGTTATTATAAAATGGAAAAAAATGGTAAAGAAGAAAAACTCCCTCTGACTACCTGTTGATTTATGTATAGAAATAGTGTACAAAATATAAAAAGGATCGGTCAAATAGATTTTGAATTATGATGTTCACGAACTTCAAAAATGTTGTTTGCGAGAAAATCGATTTAAAGTTTTTTATACTCGAAAATCCAAAATTAAGCATCAATAAAAGGTATAATTTTTTATACTTACACAGAATCATCAATGCCAGCTCCGTACAGTGAAACACAGTCATTCAGGATGTCCAATGCATCTTTTTGCTCTTGCCTACGTTGGATTCTACCCTCTTTACTTGTACGTACAGCTAGCTTGTTCGTCCGCTCTGGTTATTCGTAGTTCGTCAGATGCGCGCGCCCATTGGTGAGCACTTGGGCCTGTAGAGATGCCCATTTCATTCAAGAAGGATAACAGAACAAAAGATCCTTCATTGAAAGTGCATGCTGCTGCATTTACTGTAATTTCAACAACGATTGCAGTACCGCTCACTGATTTTGGAGCGATTTTCCAAATAAGTTGATTAAGACTCGTTGTTATTCTGCGTAAAACCTCCAAGACACCGCTGCAAAGGTGTGTTCTTGCTCAAATCTTCGTAGATTGGCTTTATGGCTTGTGTAACATCTGTAGGAAGGGCACTGTAGCTGTGTTTGAATGAATCCAGAGTGTTTGCAGCTGCCGTTTTTTGCCATTCACTCCAAGAATCCTTACCGCTCGGGCCTTTGTCGTGCTGCGGATTCTCGTCTGTCGAGCAGTAGTGATAGTATGTCGATCAAATCGCATTTTTCATTTTTTTTTTTATATACTCGTGATTGCGTCGGATAGCCAGTCCATAATATACGGTCAATTTGTCGATCATTTTTGCAGTGAGTTTACCTTTTCCAAAGAGACTTTTCCTTTTTATTTTTTATCCTGTTTCAGTTTCACTATCGACCACAGATGTTTTTACTAGTTGACGTAAACGAGTGCCCTTTCTTTTCTGCACATGTCCTATGCACTGTTTCTTATTTATTGTGAAATCTTTACCATACGGTTTAGCATTTACCACACCACTATAGGTTTTCGAGTCGCCATCTCCTATATAATTTTTAAACATCACTTCAAAATATTCTAAGGAGCGTTTGACCATCTTTATGATGGCGTCTACTTCCATGTTGCCTCATGAACCAACATGATTTGTTTTACAGTTTCCGCTGTTGACGTGTTCTTTACGCCATTCTTCGAATTCGCTGGTGTCTAGCTTATTTTCCCAAGTTTTACATTGGTGGCAGTAAGAACTCTTGACAAACACATCAAAAACCTTTCTCGTATAGTAACCGATCAAAGAAGCGACACCGAATAGCGAAGTGAATCCACGTTTCTTCCACGTTCCGTCGCCTGATACGGTTAATTCGTTAGTATCTTGTACGTTATTTGCGTTGCATGTTTCCTCTTTCTCTTCTTTTACAGCAGCAGCAAAAAATCTTTATCTTAAATTAATTAAAAAATCTTTATGTATGTATCTTCTGTACATGCGTGTTATAGCTTGGTTTTGATAAGAAAGACTCCGCTAAATCCGTCAAACCGCAAAACTTATCACATCCAGCTAAACCTAGGCCTAACACACGCATGACGAAAGCAAAACGATGATTCACTTCATAATGCGACTGCCTTGACCCTTCTTTTCTCTTTCACTAGACGGAACATACCGAGGCTCTTTGCATTTTTCACATGACACTTTGATTTCGAAAGCTGAACCTTCCGTTTTGCATGTACGAAAAGACATTTTCCCATCACAATTAACGCACTTCACTAATGTAGATATAGTTGAAAATACTAAAAGGAAGTCTATAATTCTATAATGTTTCTCTAAATCTTGCTCTACACTGTCTATAGTACTCAGTTTTATTTTTTATGCGATGCGCTGGACGCTTCCACATCGACATTTCTGCGTTTTGGGAAAGTTTTTTTTTCCTCGGTCGACCCAAAATACCGCCACGGTTCTGCCGATCTTGTCTCGTCACTTTTTTTGGCATTTTGCAAATAAATAAACAAATTTATCACGACACAATACAAATCGAGCGAAAATACAACTACAAACGAACGGAAAAATACGATAAAATTTTAGCGTCTCTGTACACAACCGCTCGGCAGAAAGTGTGCCTGCAAAGTGATTTGTACACGATATACCGTAAATATACAATGTATACAAAGTCAGTTTACATACCTACAAAGACCCATAAAATAAAAAAGTAATTTGGAGATTACAAAGGGACTTGAAACAGTTTCCACGTAGGTGCGACGCGAAGCTGCCAGACAGGTATAAAAATCGAGCATGAGGGCCGGTCGCTTGAAGCAATGTATCTTCGTTAGTTTTGCTCCGATTTATTTGAAATTTTGACACAATATTCTCGAAATGTTGTACATTCAGAAAAAAAATGCAAAACAAAATTTAAAACCTTACCCCACCCCCCTTACGACTATTATGTAATTATAGAAATGCCTAATACCTGGCTTATTACGTGTCTTGAAAAAGCTGATTATGGACAAGAAGCAAGGAAACGACAGTCAACTTCACATCGTACATCGATTTGGCTCTTCTGAAAAAACTATTGACTACCAAACGTTTTTACAAGACTATCAAATACTATCGAACGACTATCAAACGATTAGGAGTAGAAAAAGTTTGGAATATAGTCTAATTCAACGGACACACCGATCGACGAATCGATTGTATCGTATGGTTGTTCATTGTTTGAGTTGTTTACGGTGGTTGAGGCCCTACTAACTATTGACTGAAAAAGCTGATTATGGACAAGAAGCAAGGAAACGACAGTCAACTTCACATCGTACATCGATTTGGCTCTTCTGAAAAAACTATTGACTACCAAACGTTTTTACAAGACTATCAAATACTATCGAACGACTATCAAACGATTAGGAGTAGAAAAAGTTTGGAATATAGTCTAATTCAACGGACACACCGATCGACGAATCGATTGTATCGTATGGTTGTTCATTGTTTGAGTTGTTTACGGTGGTTGAGGCCCTACTACCTTGGAATCGCACGGTACGGGATGGAACCGGGTCTCGATAGGCATTAAGGGGGTTCATTAGGCGCGACCAATCATGCCGTGAAGAATTTTCGTTATTTGTATGTAATGGTCTGGTGGCTGCTGCCGCCATAACGTTAGTTGATTCCCTTCGCCTGGTTATTCTTTTATGGCGTCTAGGTGCATTTCTTTCGTTTGATCGAGTGTCTCTTTCCTCATTGCTTGAGACGTCCGGTGTATAACCAGCAGCGACGTCTCCACCTTCAGACCCGAAGTCGTCTTGATTATTTGTGGCTTGTACGTAAGGTGGTGAATTCAAAAGTTAGCTGGACTGAGATGTCAAGGCTTCCATAGAACTTTTAATTGACCCTACCACGTTTTCGACAAAAGCTAATCGTGAGTCTCTATTTGATTCGAGTTGACTCATTCGTTGCTCGATATACTCTAACCGGTGAGAAAGAACGTTAACCGGATCGCCTATTGGTGACACTCGTTGAGGGAATTCAGGTGTTGGCGTTCTAGTACCCCTACCTCTACTAGCAGTGGTTGGTACATTCGCGGTTACTATTGGGTCTCGACGCGAGGTCGTTTGAGTCTCATCCAACCTTTGGTTCTTATTAGGTGATCTTTTTGGTGGTGAGCGAGATATTGTAGTCATTGTGTCGAATTCGTCCTTACACCGTGCCAAAATCTAGCCTGGTAATTTAAATCTAAATTAATTTGACTTTCCAGTTGTTATTGTTGTGAGCCCAAATACAGGGTTCACGGATTTGACTGCCGGAAAGGGTTCTTGGGAGTCAGGTACTTTGGGATTCGTTGTCCGAGTAAAAAGTTGGAACTTAACTCTCGATAACAAGTAAAAGATTTATTTGAAACAAAACAAGTTACGTTAGAATACATTATTAGAAATAAACCGTAAACGTGGTGAGTACGAAATCACGAGGCTGGAGGTTAGTACTTCGACTAAGTTACCGTAGTAACGCTTCACTCGTAGCTCTCTACTTCGTCTGACGTGCCGACAGGCCGTCCGCTTTTTATAATCTTAATTATGGAATTTTTAGAGATACAATAACCAAGGATTGTTTCTATATTTCGCCATGGTGTCGGTGATGTGTTTCCTTTGTTTCCATAATATTGGCGAGTGGAATGTGCCGCGTCGCAACGTGGCCATTCCGTCGCTTCTGACGTAGGCGCGTTTCCAAATCTATATTATGGTTTACAACATTATTAAAATTCAATAAGTGGATGAGGGTACACTCAAACACCTTACCCTGATTAAGAGCGATTCTGAACTAAACTTCGGAACGAGATACTACCTAGTCAGATGCTATGAGTAATTTGATTACCGTTTCTTAAATTTCAACAAACAGGACACGGCCTGTATTGATTACTAATTTTACCTATTGGAGACTAAATCAACTTCCGCGTTCTCCAACGGTTCCCTTAATTTCACTGGGTATCAGAACAAGATCCAAATACTCTAGCTTAACTGCTTCGACAGCAATTTCATTAGGTGTCAGAGCAAGATCTAAACACACTAGTAATTCTCACTGGGCATTAGGACAAGACCTATATGTTTTAGTGATCTACTTATATTTTGGACTCCGCAACGTATGGCTTCATTACCCTATTGCTTGATAAATCTCAAAATAATAATTCAACAATTCCTCTAGGTATCAGGGCAAGACCTATATACTCTAGGTGTTCTCAAGATTTGAGCTCTTGACATAAGGGCTTCCGTTATCCTATCACTCGTCAAAGCTCAACACCACAGGGCTATACCTTTGTCAAATGATTAATTTCAAACATCGCAACCCTATATAATATTCCTTATTTGATCCGTACGACAGGGGCAAGACCTTTATCAAACGGATTTCTTCTTTTCAAATCTCTACATTACTGTACGACAGGGGCAAGACCTTTATCGACAGTTTATATTGGCATTCATAGCCTCTTTTCAACGTGAATTTCTACCGTTCGACAGGGACCTTTGTCGGGCGGATAGCTTACACATTTCAATATAATTGTTACCGTCGAAATTTCCTCAGCTACTTTCAATAATTTACATTCAGCAACCATTCCTTCAGACAATTTCGATAAATAATTTTAAGAAACAATTTCAATAATAATTTCAATAACTATTCCGATAATTTCAATAAATAATTTCAATAAATAATCATTAACTTCATTCTACATAAATGACTAGTACAAAATAAATAACGTGACTCATACGATATTCTTACAAATTTCGACTTATTTTCATTTTATTTCAAAGACTCGCATAGATTCTATTACTCGACTTTATCTTCTGTTGACTTTAGATTCTTAGAACTAATGTTTACTTTTGCCACGTTCGGGCGCTACACTGACACGACACATGACATTGACCAAGCACACAGCATTTACAAAGACGGAATAGTCGATGAACTTTGAACAAAATTATTCAGTAATTTTCTCAATTAAATTTTCAAATTGCTATTTCTGATTTTACTTATGAAAATCCCCAATCGTGCCCCACGTTGGGCGCTAAATGAGGCAGGCTTCCTTCTTCTTTTCTAAATTACCACGTTTATTCAGCCTTCACCTAGCGCGGCCTGGGTCAGGGGCTGCTAGGGCTCTAAAATTGGGCTCCTTTTTAGGTTGAGCGCAAATTGGTTTATGGGCAAACCAATAAATCCTACCACAAAATGTTCAATGTGCAACGGCTAGTCAATTAGAGAAGAGGTTCGAATTGGGTGACCCGAGGAAATTGCAAGAATAATAGCATTTGATCAATTATAAATTTACTTACAGTTTATTTTCCTTATTCCAATTTAATTAGTATATAGTCCTTGCATAGTGAATTGGTCAACGGTTATCCTCTGGTACAATATGTCTATGTCGCTTTTGTATATCTAGATCGATTAATCCCACGAGTTTCCTTTTGTCTCTCTCCAGCTCTTTCCTATGAGCCCTTCTACGAGAGAGTTTCTTTTTACGCCTTCCTATTAGCGCGACACGACTGCGAATCTCATCACACGCTTTTCTACTTGCGCCACGTGACGGGGATCTTCGGAAGTAATGATCCTCGCACGCGCCTTAGGACAGCCTGTAATCCATAAATTCTAACAGGTGTCTCGTCTGGCGTTGAGGCTATCTTAAGAAATTTCAATTCTGTCACAGTTTATACAATTTAACTAGTTTTCTCTTTGCAACACTTTTTTTTTTCGAGTATTCAAGACAATCGACAACTGATACAAGGGCGTAATCGTGATCAGTAATTGGGACTTCTTCCCATTCTTCTTGTTTGATTAACGAATCAAGTTTGGCTTTAATTTCCGTGACTTTATTCATTTTCTCCGACTTGTAGATATTTTTCAAATCAGAAACAGTGACTATAAAATTTGGAGTTTTTGGCTCAGTAACTGTGCAATTTCCGAACTCTGGAGGTTTCAAGATACTTTAACTGGAGAGCAGTTTGTATAATTGAAGAAATATCGGCGTAGCAGGGTGGTCATTTGAACCAGCTGCTTGCTGAATAGTGCCAAATAATTGCTGAAGTAAACAGGAAATGTAAAAAGTAAATAGGAAATGTTATTGGAACAAAGCATCAAGGTTGCAATGATTATACCTCCAATGTATCTTGATTAATTTTTTCGGTTAAAAGGTATTCGAATTGAAATTTTTCTCGCATGTAAGTGCACATTTCAATAGTCGCCTGCAAAGTAACACGAAGCCCTTCCGCAGTGCTATCGCTTAGGAATTCATTCTTGGTTACTGAGCCTTCGACCCTGTTGGACTTCCATTCGTTTAGCCAAAGTAAAGAAGATTTCAGCACCTAAACAGATTTCAGTGTTTTAATATATAAAAATAACAATACACTAGATACTTGCCTCCAAGTCAGAACCTTCCACAGTCACTCCTTCGTTTGGAACTTTTCGATTTAAAGCATCAAACATATTATTTGTAATTGTTCCCTTTATTAAGAACAAATAACTACACAAATTTTTGAAAATTCTAATAACAATATGACCAAAAGATTTAATTTTTCGGTATGATCAAACCAAATTATATCAAGACGATATTGCGAATGATTATACTAAGCGAACTCATTATCGGTTAAATAAGTCGTACATTAGATCCAATTAATTAATAATATGAGGCCAGCCATCCCACAGTCACACTTATAAAAGTTTTTAGTCCATATTCTAAACACACACTCAATTTATTTTCTATACTCAATAATTAAATATATACCTATTAGTTATTGAATCGTTGATATCGATGTAGGTGAGTGTTTATTGATGTAGGTAGTTTATTGATGTGGTCCACCGGTGTTTTATCTAGCCAAATTGTCGCCGTGTCCGATCATATTTTCCTCAATTGTCTAGCTGAATTTTATAATATAGATGTGGATTTATTTTATGGCCCTATCACCCAGAGCGTATTATCTATTATATTTTCGAAGACACTTGCTACTTGTTCGCTGGTTAGTTGGTGAAAGGAACGACAATTCGTTTGACCGGTATTATTTAGATTCTATTAGGTGGGGATCGAGCGATACATAATAGGTATATGCGGAGTGGGGGCGCATCTACACTCATACACACACAGAAGAAACACACATCAGCTAGCGTACTCATACGTTACACATTTATGCGCTGGCAAAATTTGATGGTTTCTTCACAATCCTCGAGACCAGGTGTGCCACGCTTTCTATAAAAAGTCAAGCCATTAACCATGGATTCGCTAAAAGCCTGTAAAGATCAATGTTCAAAATTATATAATAAAACGAATCTGCCAAGACCGATGGACATAAAAGACACATGAAGAGGTAATGTAAATGTAAATCCAGCTTACTTGAGTTGCTAATCGTACTCGCATCTTTGTAGATGTGTTGAGAATCAGGTGATTTCGTGTTATTTTTGGACACACTCTTAACTTCGTTGGAAGCTTCGTGTCTTCTTCGAATAAGGAAGTAAAATGTTCCCATTTTATTGGACTTATTCCATTACCTTTTATCTTCAAGCATAATTCTGACCAATTAAGAAAATACAGAAGCGTTTGCGAGAACGGTGTAAGAGCAGTTCTAATGAGCAACCTACCTTGAGCTTTTTATTATTGTGCAGCCTGTTGCGTATGTTTTTTATCAGGTTTGGAGTGTCGGAAAAAACGAACATTTTTCATAATTCGCCGCACGGATGAATAAACCAAGGTTTACAATTATCTTTTTTTGCTGTTACATCCAAATCTGTCAAAGCACCATCGGAAATAACTGCGTGAATGTAGGCTCCAGCATCTTCCTAGCTGACTATAGCTTTAAGAAGAAGTTTTGCTAGTTCCGTTCTTTTGACTGGTCCTTTCGTATGTATTGGTTGCTCATATGTATCCGCCAATGACTAAAACATGAACACGAGTCCGTGATTTGCCAATTCATTCACGTTTTCGGCTTTCGTGCCATCCTCCCCAAAATCTGTTAATCCTTTGAACGTTAAATTGGTCGAACATACAGCAATGGATTCTCGCAGTGAAATTTCGTCGATCAGTATAATTCCATTTCTCTGTATAGCCTTCTTGGTGTTCATTTGTCGTTCAAATAACTCAAAAAAATTTTTGTTGAAACCATATTTAGCGTCGATTATTGACATGTAGCGCCGAATAGATCGTGGCGATGGCAATGGTAGAACGTCATTTTTTAGTAGAAATCGGTAATGAGTAGGTGAACGTATGTGCATCATCATAAACATCATTATCCAATTTTCAGTATATCTGTTTCGTTTAGCGCCTTTTTTCTCTGCCGCAGCGATCATTGCTTCAATGGCTAATTTCTGTGCTGGTTAAAAATTAAATTTGGTAATTTAGTCTCTGATGGATTTCTCGCTCAACTTGCGAAGTTTCTTTTGTATTTCAGAGGTTGTTGTTTGCAGTTTTTGAATTCTTTCCTTTGTTCGACGATGCGCAGCCCTCTCCCTTCGAACTATTTTACGAACAGCGATAATATTTTCTTCCACGTGTTCATTACTTGCTCCCTGTTCTAACCGTCTCGGCCTAGTATTATTCTGTATGAGTCTTCGGTTCCTTTTTTGTAACGACTTGTTTAGTCTTTCACAGCGTATACATTGCTTCCTCATGCAAACGACAGGACAGTCTTTATGTCTCCATATTTCAAAATTATCTTGGTAGACGATATTGCTTCGCACTGAATGTACAATTTGTAACATGATCAGTCCGCTACAAATGTTCATACGCGAGAGAGTAGTTAATATAATGCTCAGATCTGTTAGAGTCTCTACCGCTCGAATCGATTGCAGCTAATTAGATGGAGAGACAGTTTTTCCATGGGCCGAAATGTGAACAGAATCATCTTCAGACACCAATACGGATTTTCGGATCATGGGTTGCAAGTTATTAGATTGTCCTTTTACATCGAACGTCGAAAACACGATCCACTTTTTTCCAAACGTACTTGTATAGCGTGACCAGCCTTTTGGAATTTCGACGCTATCAGGACTTTCGAATGTTTCATACAATATATCTTTCAGACTCTGATTTAATTTGCTATCTACTAGTTCTTTCATCTCATTTATGAAAGTTCCATTTCCATTCTCAGTTTGGTAATCATGAGTTGTCTCCACTGTCTGGTTTTCAACGATCATAGATTCGGGAGGATTTCCATCCGAATTACTATTTCGAGTTGTGATGTCACTCGTAATAGAACACTGTTCAGGTTCCTGATAAAATACAAACACAAAGACGAATAATATTGTTTGAGCAAGTGGATGTGTGCGTTGCTATAGATATTGTGTCAGTCGTGGTATCAATAATCAAGTGCATATGGTAAACTGATATATACAATTATTTATGGGATTTCTTACACGACACTCAATGTCATCATGTACTTCTCCACTCTGCATGATGTTGAGACAGCCTTGCGCATCAAGGAAAACTGAAGCAACCGTTCCATTGACGAGCCTTGGAAATTGGTATGGTACCTGTATATTAAGAAAATACATATTACATTCATTTTCAGTAAAAGGAAAAATGGTAACAATAGAACTCGTTAACTTATGCCTACAGAATGTAGTCCCAATTTTTTCAATGAATGTAACTTACCTTTGCTATTATCTTTCCTGCAGCATCTTTATGGATGAAGTGCCGAATTATATCGGTCTCTTCAAAATGTTTCTCGCAAACTAAATGCGTGGGTTTCAAAGATACACTAGTTTTTGGAGTCGCGTCAATCCATTTCTTTTTCAGTTCTTCATTTTTCGGCACATGAAAAAAGGAAACTCGTTCCTTATTACTTTCGTATCCGCTCTTACATTTCGGCACTACACACTTCTAAGTCATTCTTAATTAACAGTTTTCCTATACAAAGTCTAGAAGATCGAGAAAATAACAAAGTTGATAACAAAGGACACTCGCAATAAGTTCAACAACAGTTGAAAGTAAATGAAAAAAAATCGAGTGATTGCGCATGCGTACGAAGGTCCTCTGATACTAACGCCTCATATTCCGAACTAAAATCCGGAGTCTGAAACGGCACGATCATTTTCACTGAATGCCCAGACCTGTATATGTATAAGACCGTGGTCATAGGTATACAGGGATATACAGGGTGTTCGTTATGAAACGCACTGTAGTAACACCGTTGCATTCTTTGTCAAATTCTAATGAATACGTGTATTTTCATTTTTTATTTCATATATAAAAATTTCGAGATAATCAAGGTTGAAGTTACAGTAATGCGACCAATCAGAATGCGTTTAAATGGAGCGTAGATGACGTCGCGAGCCAGCCCGCAAGGACTGCTTACACTAGGCCAATAACACTAAGAGTATCGTCGTAGTGTCCCTGTTTATCTGCATGTAATTGAGTAAGATACAAGAGACGATACTCTTAGTATTATTGGCCTACTGTAAGCAGGCTTTGCGGGCTGGCTCTGGACGTCATCTACGCTCCGTTTAAACACGTTCTGATTGGTCGCATTACTGCAACTTCAACCTTGATTATTTCGATCCTTGCGGGCTGGCTCGCGACGTCATCTACGCTCCATTTAAACGCATTCTGATTGGTCGCATTACTGTAACTTCAACCTTGATTATCTCGAAATTTTTATATATGAAATAAAAAATGAAAATACACGTATTCATTAGAATTTGAAAAGGAATGTAACAGTGTTACTACAGTGCGTTTCATAACGAACACCCTGAATATAGGTATACACGTATATATTGCGACGATATTCTCAGTCGTCAACAAAACGGAACTCTAAATCAACGGAAATCGGGAGCGCAAGTGGTCTCGACAAACTCGAAAAGGTTGTTGAGCGCCAGGTACCCTCTAAGGAGCACTACGAGCTCTAGGCTCGTTATCGAAACAATACAGATCGCGAGAGATAATTGATCCGGGGTAACCAATTGCCACCAGGCAAACTAAACCTGAATCAGCCACCAGGCGAACTAAACCTACATGTGCCACCAGGCGAACTAAATCTAAGGACACCACGGCCACGCAAAATCAGATAGGGGCACCGCGGCCAAGAAAAGATACTCGCTTAACTAACCTAAAGGCACCACGGCCACTCAAACAGATAGGGGCACCACGGTCAAGAAAAATAATAGAGAACGTAACTAAACCTAAAGGTTACCCGGAACTCAAAAGATATTACTAAATTAGACCACTATACGTCCCGCGGTACGCCGCTTCGGAGGCTAGCTCGTCGGAAGCGTCGCGGCGTTCAAGAGGTACGGAAGGAGCGAACTCAGCCAAGGACTTATAGAAAAGTGATACGAAAAACTACACGAAAATAATCCAAATTAATTAGTTAACGCACTAGAGCTGTATTAAGCAAAACAAAATTCCAAATAGTTAATAAACGCAATAGCACAATTACCCAATCATTAACTCAGGCATTAGGGAGGGTGCGAGCGAAAGCCAAGCATAGTTTTACAAAAGTCTTAAAGTTAATTTACGATGATCGGTATCTAAAATCAGAAGCTATACAATGCAAAAGAAATAAGAATCACCAAATATAATTTCGGAAATTGTAGAAGCAGTATCCTTATCGGAAAATCTCGGCAGCGAAGGCGCTACGCGTGAGCGCGCACGCGAGTAGGACACGGGCACGCGGGCTCTATACTTCTAGAAGACGATACACACGGAAAACCATACGGTCGGACGAATCGAATTACGCTAAATAAACCAACAAACTCGTTTTGATCTAAAATAACCAAATAACGATAACCACAAAAATCGGAACGCAAGCAACGGCAGAGGAACGGCAGCGGAACGGTCTGCGCGGTTCCAATTCTCGTACGCGCGAAATTATAACCGCGGTCGACAACAGTAATACGGAAGAGTCACGCAAAAGAAATTATAACTACGAAGGAACCCGACAAAAGATAATACAAGCGGGTTCGCAAACACCAGTTCGAAAATCGCGAACACGAAAAGTAACACACTAAATAGAAATAGTCAGTCAGAGTCACAGTCAGAAAAAGATAGAATATTATAACGAGTATTTCATTATCGTTGCAGCGGAAAGACGTTCTCGGAACGGGTAGTACAATTTCCAAATCGGCCGAAGGCGCGACGTCGAGGAACGTCAACAAGCAAGGTCGCCTCGGCGGGCGGCTAGCGCGCGACGTCGGAAGGACGCGTGCGACACGTAAAATTCACAAAAGTTCCCAAGAGAATATAACGATGGAATTACAATAAGGTTCGGCAACGATAATCAGATACGGCACACCAGCAAGAAATCACAGAAATCTGAACGGAAGATATCATATACAAAAATAGGAATATTAAATTCGGAATTACACTTCAGCAAAAGCCACAACAGATTAGCTCAAAGAAAGAAAAGAATTCGGTTTAACGCATTTCACTTCGAAAGAGGAACATAAGATTATGCAAAATAAAGACGGCGTGAACTCGCCACTAATTTTAGCCGAACTTAGGGTTCGGAAGTCTCACAATAATTTTTTAGAAGAAGAACAATTTTACGGTAAACGATATCTTATAATAATGGGCATACAATGTAATCGGCAGCGCGAGCATCTGGCTGTAGCACAACCAAGCCGGTTAATCCGGGGTCAAACACTCTAGCAGGCAGATTCCCACGTGTACACTAGGCGAAGATTCCAGAAAGTTCGTTAAGTATAACAGAATAGCTAACACCAAATTATACAAGAAAAGCGCAAAATCGGAAGCTCAAAACTATAAATACTAACGGCACTACCGTCCTTTATACTATACTAGGCGGAAAGACATTCGCCCGATAACGACAAAGAAAATTCGTCACCGGCTAAACAGACGGTTTAGCCATGCCCGTGTCTACAATCTTAAGTATACCAAAAATCAGAAAGTTTAAAGGAAAGCGAAAGATCTCACCACAAGAATAGCAAATTAAAGCGTCAAGCTCAACAGAGTCAGCCCTTAAGGCAACGGAACCAGCTCGATCTCAGCAATCGCTCTATATCTCGCTCTCTCTCTCTCTTTATCTCTCAGTCCTCAATAATTCTCACGTAAGTAGTCTTCAAGACTTCGCACGACAATGACTGATCGATCGACAATCGTTGGCAAGCGGGCGCAGGTGAGGCGGGACGGCATCGGCATAGGACGAACGCTGGCAAGGGTAGCCGAGCTCTCCCGAGCGTCGACGCGCAGCGGCGGAAACGGCCGGACGGAATCGAGCGGCGATCCTGACGGCACGGCCCTCGAAGTACGCTGGGCCTGGCGAGTAAGGAATGTCGGCGGCTTCTCGGCCGAACGGAGGCACTGACGTGGGCGATCGGCAGGCCTTAGGCGGGTCAGGGAGGAAAACCTCATCTCCCTGCCGGCCGTATCGGCGGCGGATAGGCCCAGAGGGCAGCCCTTGCCGGCTGACGGAAACGGCGGAGTCCCCTCCCGGGTGCTCCAGGGCTTCCTTTGGCGTCGTGGCCGCAGCAGGATCCCGGCGACATCCAAGTCGGCGAACCGGCGGGCATCTCTTGGTCGATGGAAGCGGCGTGCTGATCCCTCCAAGATTGTCCTTTACGTCAATAATCTCAAACGGCATCAACAGCCAAACGGAATCGCCATAAAATCCTCCAACATCTTCAATATGACTGTCCTGTCCTCACGCCCTTATGTCGTTATCGAGAGGCTCGAGAGTAGAGATTGCGTATATCGTAACAAAATCAAAATAATAATTAGTCGTAAGAAAACGTAATCGGAACTGATATCAAGGACGATAGTGGACGTTCACAAACGGAAAATTTAATAATAATGTTGCATACGGAATTTCGCTATTGGATTGT